TTGCCATTGAAGTGACGCACTACTACGGCACACAACTTAGCATCGGTGATTTCTTCTTTACTGATAATGAAACATATGCGGCCAAAAATCATCAGTACAATGAAGAAACCAACGACCATCAAAACTAAGTGAGTTGTCAGCAGTGTACACAATAGCAGATCAGAACGAATCAATGGCTGTCCTCAGTTTTTGAGCACCCTGATCTAGCGAGATTAGTTTTTAGTATTGTGGGATTCCCAATACAGTTTTTTCGAATGTCAATAAAACTTCTGACCACTTTTGGACGTTGGCCATAGAATACTAGTTTTGACGTTGCAAAAATTGGCAACCTGCGTAATTTTGATATGCAGTATTGCAACTCAACAAATTCAGTCACCATCAACGCAAAATCGGTCGAAGGTGGGTACATATATTCTCCATGCAATCAATCGGTCACGAAGAGATGGGGCTTTACCATGGTGTGACGGTTTGTCTGTCTCCGTGACCCAATGAGGTATATTGGGGCTGTCGGCGCGACAAACACAGAGTATCCCATACCGGACAGGTCAGTGGTTAGAGGTCTGACCCTGTCCTGGCCCTACGGGCTTGGGTTTGGAATATGTGGAACGAATCATTCTGCAAAAATGAAAACGCCCTTGCATTTCCCGCCAACAACTGTTGCATCGCAGTCAGGCTTTTGGGCCTTGGCAGTATCCCATTCCCCTCACAACTTGTATACGTACAAGTTCAATCATGCCACATCGGTCGTCATGTGATGACACCAATCTGGTATCAGGCTTTTGGGCCTTGGCAGTATCCCATCCCCCTCACAACTTGTATACGTACAAGTACAATCATGCCACATCAGTCGTCATGTGATGACACCAGTCTGGTCGCCTCCTTCAGGTGCTAGAACAACGCCATATGTACAAATAACCCAAAAATTAAGCAATCCTGGATTTCTACGTCACATTCGACTCGATTCACAAGTCTGTTCTCGTTGACACGCTTGCCCATTAAAGACTACCCCGAAATTTTGTGAAGACAATAAGTTCTTTGTATTCTCAGGCGTCTAAACGTGTGAGAGCATACGGAGAGCCCTCCAAAAGCTTTCGTACACAAAGCGGTGTCCGTCAGGGTTGCCCAATAGCTCTATTGTTATTTAATTTCGTAATCGACGATATAATGAGAGGAATGCTAGAATATCTTCAAACCGGTGTCCAAACAGTTTGCATCAAGAACATTGTAAATCTGGAATATGCAAATATGTTCGAAGAGGAGAAGAAGCCGCAGGTGATTATGGATGAACTGGACAACAACTGACTACGCCACTCACAGTCCAGGGAGACACTCGAAGTTGTGGAGCGTTTTACGTACCTTGAAATTTGTATTATTTCTGAGTGTAGCATGGTAGATTAAAATGATAAATAATAATCGTCCAGCATTAGCACTCTTTTGGTGCCTTGCCGCCATGCCACTCGAAGGAAGCACGAGGGCTGGGATACTGACAAGTTGCCCAAGCCTAGAGAGGGGAAGTCGAGGAGCAGGGATCTGAAAGGCTCAGGTCGCGTTCGCTGATTTGAGACACCTATGGTGTCCCTTAATCTAGAGGGACGTGTGTCTCAGGTTACGTTATGGAAGGTTTTGTTGTATGACTGAGACCGCCTGGTTAGATATTCGTCAATCGTTGTCTCAGAACCGTAGCTTGTATGGGTGTTAGATATTCGTCAATCGTTGTCTCAGAATCGTAGCTTGTATGGGCTTGTGTCAGAGAATCCTTAACGAGGCAATTAGAAGGCGAGTTTTTGGTTGTACAGTAGGAACTTCCATTGAAATGTTTGTCCGGCACCAGAAGCTGCGTTGGTTAGGCCATGTATTGCGCACTTCGAACCATCGTTTTGCTGAAGAGAATGCTGTTTTCCCTGCCAAACTTTGAGCGACGGAAGCAGAAAGGTGGCCAATCCTTGACCTGGCAGAGGGGTGTGAAGGAGCTTACGAAACGTTTGGGTGCTGTCGATGCTACTCGCCACGATATCCTCACTGCGACTGGTTGGACACGTTGCAGGATAAGGCTTGTAGTCGACATCAGCGGCGTTCTTGCTGTTAGTTTCTATCCAGATTGCTTGAATGAGTATCTGGAGATGTAGACACTAGCACTGAGTCCCTTCCTCATTCAATTTTAGTCTTTTCTTCGCAATAAGGCTTTCAAATAAATCAAGGTAATCCGACAGCGAAGCATCATCCCTGAGCACTGATGTTATGATGTCGATGATGATAAGGACTTAATCGGTCAACAATTAAGGATACGTAGCGTAGACAGTGACACTTTAACTTACCGCTCCACCCATGTGATCTGTTTGTTTGTCTCACAGCTAACTTGGAAAGTAGATAGTGCCACGGAATCGGGCATTTAAGATCTGCTTAGTCCAAAAGTGTCACTAAATGTCCATCTGAAATGAACGTTCTTCACAATTTTTCCTTTTTGTTCGTTTATTCTCATATACATGTAACACGCCGGCCTTTCTTCTCCTGTATAAGCATAATTCGACTAGCACAGAATGTGGTTGATGAAACACCCTAACTGCGGTTAGTTAAGCCAAATGAGTGTCTCGTTATGCCGCCGATTCCACTCCAATAGTTCAAATTAGGGAAGGCTGTATCTAACGCATGAGTAAAGCAGCCATTAAGACTGTTCCAAGGACCATACGACAAATCGCTTCACCCAGTTATATGTGGACAGGTCACACCAGGTCCAGGATGAACCACATACTTGGAGAGATACACAGACACGTAAGCGAATATCTGTGCTCATACATTTCATTTAACATTCAATGCATATCCGTAGTTGCTTCGAGTTCTCAACTAAATTAGTACGCCAGACAAGGGAGTGATAAATTGGTTTGATTTGTTTACGTCCCATAGCAAACTGACAACTGGCACCATAGAACATTTTCGACTATCAGCTTCCTACAAGAAAAGAAGTGATGTATACAGATTCCTCTCTACTGAAAATTCTCTCCAAAGATTGAATCTAGCCCGAATCTACCGCTTGTAAGCCTCATACTGCTTCCTTGAAATTCCACTTTTTGTCATTTGTCACGAAGTACTTCAGTGCTGCATTCTCCGAGTAAGAAAACTGAGGAGGCTGGAAGCTGGAATTACGATAGCATACATTTCGGATAGCTACTTGACATCAACAGGGCAAGTAATTTGTAGCTCTTTGACATTGGCTAGTCCACTAATTACTACCTCAACAACAGTACTGGTATGAACTGTTCATCAAGATTTCGGTGAATGAAAAGCCTTATCAGAATTGGAGATGATTAGCACTCTCTGCTTAGTAGCAAGGGGGACAATTTGTGTACCCTCAGCGAGCACAGTAAATGCGAAAGATGAAAACACGGGAACAGGATTAACAGCGCAGTGATCGCCTCAACAAGCGTTATCTGTATTGCAAAAAACGTCATCCAGCAGAAAAGAGAGGTCACGTATCCTGAAATTACCTGGTCTTTATTTTGGAGTATTTTAGAAAGGTTGTGGCACCAGCGAGTTAGAAATTCACGGCTATTAGTTTATTAGTTTATCTTAGCTATTGTCTATGGTACTATTCAAAACAAGGTCGCGGTGCTACCAACTACTGCTGTTACGCAAACGTTCGTACAAACATCAGATGTTGTTTCCACCTGAACTTCACTTGGTTCAAACAACACTAACTTTTCTCGTTGAAGCAGTCGTGAACTTCTTCAGAATAACTCCTCGGTAGACTCACCATCCAATATGTTTTTCAACGAATTGACCTGGTAAACATCTGTCTTCGATTCATGAGCATGGGCTGCTATCTTGTGGCCACGAATGAGGTTTACGATATTACGTAGGGTCTTGTTCAATATTTAACGCACGTGGGTTATTTAAGACCTCAGACGACTTAAAATGACTAATTCCGGAAGATCTCGGGAAGATTTATATATATATTTGTATATATAGATATATTTATATATATTATACATTCATAACTAAGGTTTGCTCCATTTTTATACATCGCATCCTTATCGCGCCGTGACATTAGAGCTCGGGAGCATTTACTGAGGGGACTGCGGCACTGCTAGATATTTGCGCTGGTACGCCATCATTGAAAGCTAGATACAAATCTTCTACCTAGCTCAGACAACAAAGAGCATGTCTGTCCCCGACCTACGGAGCTAATTCGGGATTTCTTCTGTTGGATTGTTTGTTGTTTAAATACACCGCAACACGAGCCGAAAATTGGAGGAGTAATTTATACTAAGTTGAGAGTCTGGTAGTAAAAAAGAATAAGTCAGCGATCTAGCATTCACTTAGTGGATCAGTGGACACACCGACGGCGATCTACACTACTTGTTCAACTACCACTCTCCTCAGAACATAGAAACTGAGGACAAGTACACCACATTAACATTACAGTCGGAGTCTATACAACTACCAAGATACATCAAACTCTTCAAAACCTCGGGTGCGTCTCAATAAATTGTAACCGATATGTTCAGTGACTGTATATCCAGAATCACGACAGTAGACTTTGTAGGTGCAGAGCTTATACCATAGAACAGCAGGACTTCCGACCCGGGTTACAGAGTGGATTGCTCACCGTTTGCGTGACCCTAAAACCGAAAATGGCGACTCAGGACGAGCACATGATCAGGATCCTAACACCTGTTCTAAAAGCGGCGAAAGTCAAGCTATTACTTCACACGATCGTAAATAATGGCGATGCATCTGCGTCCGTCAAGCTGTTTGGGGGAGCAGTGTAACTAGACAGTCTTCTTTTTCCCGAAGATATTAACGAATAAAAAGGAGTGTCGATTCTGACTAAGGAATCGCCTCAACTATCAATTTTGCTATTACCATTTGGCTATGCAACAATAATAGAAACCGTCACGAGATATTAGTAGGCGTATGTTTCTAAGACAGGTGAAAAATCGAAAATATGAAACGTGTGTGCGAGAAAAGAAAGAAGCAGTAGAGTTATTCGCAAAGTGAATCACCTTTAGCCAGTTACTGGTTAAATCCAAATCTTCAAGATTGGCCAACTCACAAAAGTCCTCAGGCAGTTTGGTAATGCGATTATAGGACAGGTCCAGTTGAACTAGTTGTCTCCATTGCGAAGCTTGATTCAAAGTCAAGGAAAATAAAATGCACGGTTTGACGTTAGGCGCTTCATAATGAGTGGTAAAGACTGCAGGAATTTACTCCGGTTTTGTGCCACGGCATACACACCAAAGCAAATTCAGCTTGCCTCGTTTTAAGAAACTGAACCGCGGAGGAGACCACGTTTGCTTGGTCCCCGAAACCTCTTTCCATTCTCCATGAACCTCTTAGTCCATATAGGAAGCCTATGACCCACATGGACACATAGACGTTTTGAACCCGCGTTCATATGTTAGTAGAGACTAGCCCGTTGAGAGAACGTCAGCAGCCAGAAGATCTCAAAACAGGAAACTCTGAATCAAAGACATGAATGTGCAAATGGTATCCACCACGCAGAGACTGGGCCTTACCGTGGTTCGACGGTTTCTGTACGCTTTCTGCACTCAGGCAGTAGTGCCTGAGTGGAAACCAATCTCCTCAGTGTTTAAATAAACCGACTGAAATTACAATTACCCAGCGTCAAGCAACACAGAGCGGTGGTGTTCTGTATTTACAAATGAGGCATCCAGCAAACAACGTAGCATCAACATACACAGCGAAGCACACAGAAGGTTGGATAAACTGCAGGGTCTATCCGTCATTAGCTAGGTAAGTAGATAACTTGTGTGACTAACAGAGTTTACCAGCGTACGCTGTATGGTGCTTGTGTTGTACGCTGAACGCGAAACAAATCCTTTCAGCAATCGGATCGATGTGTCGAATGGAGATAATCCCGGCAATTTTAATTGTGCATTGCTGCACAATCACCCATCTAGAGTGATTAGCAAGTAGTTTCTGGACAATAAGAACACTGAGTGAGTGACAGTTTATGCGCTTTGCCCGCAAGACGCTGCGTGATTGAACTCGAGGGCAGGTTCGAAGTAGCGTTCTCATGGATGTTCGAAAATTGCCCCCAAACTCGTGAGACACTATTGGAAGGAATCAGGCGTGGTTACTGGTTTGCACCATCTTCCGGGACATACGAAAACATACTCCGTACGGCGACTGATTTGAGTTCACTAATCACTCACGTGTCACATTTGATCCCGGTAGGACCAGTCGCTACTGCTTTTGTTTGTGTTTAGTTCAGATGCCAGCTGGTATTTGCGTCGTGCTCCTATACCCCGACTCCTTTCCACTATGCAATACTTGGCGCCGAAGACAGTATGTTTTTCAACCGCTTCAAGGGCCTTGCAGTAGGCAGTACACGTCATCATACTCATGCACTCGTGATGGTTTTCAATGGTCTTTGATTTCTCCCCAATCCCTCCATCTTAAATTGAAATTCACAGCTTTCCCAGTATCCACACATGCACACACACACACACACACTGTTGACTCTAAATAGTTTCTGGTGTGTACGGTTAAGATACCCGGAATGCGGTCACTCTCATTTTATAACTTTTCACAATACTTTCGCTCATAGTGTCTAAATGAAGAAAACAAGTCAAATGCTCGTCTCTATGCTAACGAAAGGTAACAACCCTTAGATCTCGTATTGACAGAAACGAATTGGCTGTAATTGCTTTGTTCTGATTAACACGAGTCAACATTTTGGGACAAGGTAAAATGTCAGAGCCAACGTTTGGGCCACCCAGCGATAATTCACTTTGGAGTCATTGTGCGTTGGCCAAGGCCCCAATAACGAAATTGATGAACCAACTTCAAGATCTTTTCTCTAACAGTCCGATGTAAGCAACAAACACACACTTAACTGCCGTTTCAACATATTCCAAACTACGAGTGAACTTGAAGGTATTCAATTATCTCAGCCTGTTTTAATGTAAGATGAGATAGGACGACATTGTCTTTGCTTGTACTTTCGCCTACTGGAGGGTCGTAATCAGATCTTGATGATTTCAAGCGCTGTTTGCGTATGTTTCATCATTTTATGAGTTCCTTTCTTTGCATATAATGCACTCGCCTTTCAGTTCAATAAAATTCGAGATAACCCCTTTTTGTTAAGAACACTCGGAAACTCAAACCAACATTTGGCTCACGGTGAAACTGGTTGATTTCGAAACTGTGGTTTGACTTTGTTCGACTTTAATGTTCTTCTCTGGTGACCGATCGACTAAGTGAGCTGGACAGACCGTCGCATTAGGAATGGAATCAAAAATTTAGCACGATTTCATTAGAACTGTAGTATACCAAAACAAAAATAGCAAACTTAAAGGAAGTTGAATGTAAATGATGTGCTGAATTTGTCCCCCAAACTATTGATTTCAGAAGCCTGGAGTGACCGATCGGCAGATTATGCATAATCCAAGCAACGATTACACAGGAGGTGATAGACGACACGAGATCATATGGGGACAGTCGTGCTCAACATCGTCCGAGGAATGCAAATTACTGGTGCTGACAATCGAAGCATATATCTCAACTCACATATGACTGGCGGGATAGTGGTAGGGTAAAACCTTACAGTCATGATGGAGGTAGTGGTAACAAGCCGGACAAAAGAAAAGTATCAGCACTCATATTGCTTTTTGCACTCTGTTCAGATTCACACAAGGAATACCTGAAAGCAGACAACATGTTGACTAGCAAAGTCAGTGACTTTGATGGCTAAGATATCATTATTATGTAAAAGTCAAAAATGAATAGTGGCTAACAGGAGAGGGATAGCATTTACTGCCAGGATTGAAAGCAAATAGTTTCCTTTATCATGTTTATCACATGATAGGTACTTTGGAGCTTGAAGTAACTTAGTTTCAAGAAGCAGGTGGTTCACACCAGTTTAAACGCTGACCACTAAACCCACGCTATCCGGAAGGAGAGCACAATGGGCAAATTCTTCCTCAGCTATGGCACTTTAAACGTGGGTACACATGTCATGTGTGAAGTTCCGTTTCAGAGGCCTGCGGGAAAGAATAGCTGTCGAAAAAAATTGTACTAACGTAGCGTATGTACCCTATTTCGACGGATTTTTCGTCAATTTCAAAATGACACAAGTTTGCAAGCATGGTCAATCACATCTTCGTAGAGTGACAAGGCCATTGAATAAGCGGATGTGATGGGATGGATCAACAACGGTTCGTCACGAGCTCCAAGAAGCAGGCCAATCGGAATGTGCCTCGGAAGAATGACACGGTTTATCCCTTGACTTCTAAGCTCCTAGTTAGGTAAAGTGCAGATGGAGTTTTGTGGACCTATAACATGTCATTCGATAATCAGTAGGAAAATGGTGGGTTGGTAGTTTTTGACCGTAGAAAAAGCAAAGCAGTTACTTGCAATTCTCATGCACAATCAAAACATCCAGTGTCAGCAGTTACCCGGTGATTTTTTCGACAAAAGTACTACTAACAGCTTGATATCTAATACAAACTACTGAAGTCTACGGAAATGAAAAGTTAAATTGTGCAAATGAAATTATATTGAAGATGAAAATTCACTAGCACACAACAACACGTTGCTTTTCGCGAAATACTGACTTGCGCAATAGTTTTGCTTTAAGGGGAGATTCGATTGAATTCAGCTACATCCTTCGTTTATCATATTACTTAACTACGTGGGTTGCACAAATGGTGTCTCTGTTTCTGCCGCGATGCAACACCTAGACGGAGGATACTAATCATAAGTTTACTGACATCCCTTCGAGATTCCATGACTGACTTCGCCGTCTCTCTTGTCTTCATGTTTTACTTGGACTCAGATTGGGCGCAACTTGCGAACTAAACTGATTTATTTGCACACCAATTCGGCTTCAAGAAGATGCTCAACTAAACTCCAGTTAAATAAGTCCTCTGAAGATGATTATATCGGCCTTGACAAAGAAAGGCTCTTACTCTAATTGGAGTGTGTGTAAACATAGGTCCGAGCTTTCCTACGCTGAATTTGTATTGATTACTGTACCGAATCATACTCCGTCCACAAACACGGTGTGCTTATACCAGGTTATTAGCCAACTGATGTGTCCTCTTGAGAGAATGTGAAATTAATGGACTTGGGAATCCATAGGGCGAACAAGCTACTTTTTCCCATGCAGTATCAATATCATCACTCAAGCTTATAGGAGACTTACGTGGTCCGCTGCTTAACCCTCCTCCTGTTTGGGTTGCCTGTTTGTTCGTCTGGTTCGAGGACTGCCTCGAGTTTACTTTGTGTGTATTGCAATATACGATATTTCGTTGATCGGAATTCTGTTAAGTTTACCTAAATATTGTGTCTATTTCATGTCTATGCGTCTGCAATTAACCCACACTTACACGTTAGTCGTTCCGTTGCGCTGGCCCACAAAGGTACTGTAGGTGGCAATGCGAGTACCGTTGCACATACCAAGTCAAATTATGGCTGGTAGCTGCATACCAGATTTGGGTGTATTTCGTTCGTCTTATGAGTGTTGCAGCTTACCAGGCCACATTTTGCATAAACTGTGGGCCTCAAATATTCAGCTGTCCACCCTTTGAATTGAAAGTAATGGGCATGCAGGTTGACATTTTTATGGCTTGAGAACTGCCCCTTCCTGTTCAATCTCCGGTTGCGTTCCCCAGGGTTCAAGCCTAGTAGAGGGCGTTCAGTTGGCTGCAGAAAAAGCATCTAGCACTACCTATTGTTCGCAAATGGCCAACAGTACTGAAATTGTGTGCTGTTATTTGTTATCCCGGGGACCGATAACGCAGTGAACCGCTTGACGATAAGTCGAGGATAAATTGATGGACAGTCCTGCGTGAAATGGTCTGCAGTAACTTGTCATCGATGGACTGTCAACGTACCGTGGTGTGTCGAGGGTAACACTTTGAACCAAGTTGTCACTTTATTATTATTGGACATAGATCATGACCACAGAAGTGATGACTGATAACTGTATTTTGCAAATAGACTGATTCGTCGATTGCTAACGAAATGTAAGACCGTCGTTGAACAACCGTTCACAATTAGACCAAAGGGCTACAGAATTCACTTTATGTAGCTTACAAATCATGAGGCTGTTGAAATCTCGTTGAGAGCAACTCTTTGGTCTTCTTTGGGCCCATGAGGTGAGTGTGACCTTCCCTTCAGTTTTCTTCAGCCTTATATTCTGAAAAAATCGTTCAGCTGTAATACCCTTTCGGTGCCTAGCTGCTATACCACCCGAAGGAAGCACGACAGTTCCAGTTGCCCCAGGCCTAGACGGGGAAGTCGAGACTTTCCGATCAGTAAATTCGCGCCCTAACCACTTGGTCCGCCTAGCCCCGTATTATATATTCTACTTGAATATCAAATTGTACGCGAATTGACGGAATACACTAACTTACGGTATTATACTGCTGTCAACTAGAGACTTAAGTGGATCCCTTGCTTATGGCATTCTCTAACTCAGTACGGCTTAATGTTGCCTGTAATGCAATTAGCAAATTTCGTATAATTTAGTGTTCAAGCATAACATAAAGATGATGGAGATTCAAACGCTGTGCCTATCTTATGAATTCCAAGAAGAACGAAACCGGCAGTTGACTGTTGAAGATTTTGGGAGTAATATGTCAAACCAACGAAATAGACTACGGTATTTGGAATACCGTGTCAGCTGAAACATCAGACGGCCCCTGCGAAGCACATTCAGCTGAAAAATACCATAAACAACTTCTTTCAACTCCTCCGTTCACACCAACGTGGTTCGGAAGTGAGCTGTTGTATTCTACTCATTCTTAGAGATAGCTGTTTGCACGGATGTAATATTCGCCTAACCTGTTCCACGTGGTACCCAGGTCTGGGAAATTCAAGGGCAAGGGAAAATAAACAGCCTGGCGGTTTTTCGGAGCGGATGCTAATAAAAGCACGTTTGGCGAGGAGAATAAGTGTGTCATTTTAAGGGACAGTGAATACTTGGATTGGTAACAAACATTACACGGTGGGGTTTAGTTGGTACACCTGAACAGCTAAGTTCCATTCAAGCACACACAGTCACAAAGTACAAATTCAGCCGGAATGCTTACCAACAATTTCCAGGTGGACAATATTGTTGTTTCCCATGGTAAGCGAACGCAAGTGCTCGGCATCCGCAAAATCATTGGTGGAGACTGTATCAAGATTGTTGTAATCCATGCTTAAATGCTGAAGGCAGAAAAGAAGCCATTTAGAATATTTCTAAACGCCAGTAAAGACAATTCATTCAGACCTGGAATCACCTGACTTTCAAAGCGTTACCAACTTGTTTCGGTGGAGGAAAGCAATACCGTATATAGCCACAAAGTAAGAAGTGCGTCTTGGGGCAAGATAATCCAGGCTTACTCATCACCTTTAGAGCGACATTGCCATTCGTTGATTTGGAGTTTGAAAGTAACCATAATTCAAAACTCTACCCTGGCCGTGACAAGAGTGCTTGTTAGGTTTTCTCCGGTAGGCTAGATTTTGAACTATTACTGATCACCTATTATCAAAACCAACTTCAATACTATCCAGAGCAATGGTTTTCCGGTCAAATCCATCATGATTCATTGCTCAAATCGTACACTGAATGGGAACAGTGCGCAGTCAAGAGTCCATACCAGTTATCGCAGATTGTATAATTACTATAAAACCCTTTCGTCCTGCACCAACTAGTCATCACTCACCTGTGACAATATTTAATCCACAATACCAGGACGGACTACACAGTAACAGCGAAAGCGACCCAGTTTCATAGCCCACTAATACGGCGATTTCAGATATCTGGATAAAAACCGAGGCATTCGGTAATTGATAGCAGCACAATCAGAATGTGCTGAGTTCGTGAATTGGGCGAATAACTTGAGTCTTAGAAAATCCACCGAAAGGCCTCCTCAGGACTATGCTAGTAAGTGCTTTGGTGACACTCGGTTTCGTGATGCGTTTGAAAAACCATTAAATGCTCTACATAAGACCAAACTGAAAGTAAGTCTGACGTTCCAGAGAGTCATCGAATGCCTAATTTCACCTAAGTATCGTACAGCAGTTACGCTACGGTCTATTTGTGCTTCTGGGAAGTATGATCAAACTCATGAACCGACCACTGCGTGTTCGATATAAGGTGAGTGTTACAGACCGCCGACTGCAACAAAGAGTTGTTCTGATCGCATATTCATTTTTTTATATCCCGCAGAGACATCTCTCAGAAAGGAAATCACCATTTCAGCCAATAGATAAAAGATGAAGCAACCGGATGGAACCCAAAATAAATTTGTTTTAATCACAACTTACTTCCAGATGCACCAACTGTCCGGTGGCTCCAGTGGGAAAACCGGAGAAGGCGTTTCTGGATAGTGTTGCAGAATTTATGGACGGCATTTTACGAAGAAGGTCATCCTGAGTGGAAGATGAGGCATCAGTAAGTTCTGTGGTGGCAGCCATGTAAATGTGAGGGAAACAAAGCAAGCACCAGACAGAGCAGTCAAAATACGCACAATCAAAAATCACCTGAACCACGCAGAAGTCGCTGTCACGACCTACGATGACTGAACATGAGTAAATCTATCAGTATCTTACAATTTCTGTAATTCGGTTGGTGGTAGAACCTTCAAAAGATATCCTGGTTACCCTAAGCATTGGAATTACAACAACAACAACAAAATATTCTGTGATCGTCGAAAAGGACTAAACTGGATTTAATTGGTTTCCGACAAGACTATGTTTAGCTTCGTGGTCGACACCTAAAATGAGATGCATGTGAATGTCTGTATTGCACACTGCATCCAATATGAAACAATGGTGTATATTCATGAGCAAGAACATCTGCACACAGAGGAATATGTGATTGTAATATTGATCGCCGGCGACCACCCCATAGAACTGAAGCCCTAAATCTGTTATGTACACAATTCGCTCCGTTTTCTGAAAATTTACACTTCTAAGACCCTCTGGTTTCATTTTCCACTTCTCCCCTTTCCCCATACGTATATACTTCAGTATTGTGGCATAACATATTGTGGCAAAGGCATTTGAAAGAAGCTCTTGTATTGTATTATCTTTAAGGGAAAAGGCAGTAAGTATGATGCTGCCCACCAAGCGTGGTGTTGACGTTTGTTCTGGTGGATTCGAATTTTTATTCCCAAATCGACCACTCTGATAGTTAACAAACGAAGCCGCTCCCTGAGAAAGATTACTTCTGGCCCATCTTCTGAGGAGCCTCTTTAGAAGAAAACAGTCATACGTAAATGTATGTTTACCAGTGATTGCTCTTCCCCAGTTTATTTTGGAGTGACTTGGGAGTGGTCTAACTACCACGCTTCCAAAAGCTTTTGACTGAAAAATGGGAATAAGGTTATTTCATCCGTACAGCTGATTTGACGAGGCCGTAGGTGAGTTATGGACGACTGTGAAATGTTTGAAGTGATGAAATCGAAGATTTCTGAACATTCACATCCATGTTTTTTGGAATTACCCCCTTTATTATTTGAAACCCTTTTAATAATAACAAAATAACTAAGTGAAAAGAGCGCGACACATTTTTCAGAAGGCTCACCTATCAAGACCACTGCCTAACTAACCGAGCTCGTTTGTTTTAATGTCAATTCTATTAAATCATTTTGCTTTCTTTTTCTGCAAAAGTGCGCATTATGAGTTAGTTCTAGAAGAATCTGATTTAATATGGATGGTTAGGTTAAATTAGGTCGTTCCACTGTAACACCCTGTCGGTTTCTAGCTGCCGCACTAAGAGGGCTGAGATACTGCCAGGTTGCCCAACTCTAGACAGGAGCGATAGAGATGTCGGGGACATTCTAGCCTCCACCCCCGAGCTATCTCGGCTCCATTCGGATATGATCGATCGAAGTAAACAGGAGCCGCCGTCGAATGCAGCATGATATCTTAGATAGATTGAAAATGTATTAAAACCCAGCTGACCCTGTTACGTTTCTCAAAGAAATTCATATGTACTCATTCGGACGTTTTGAAGTATTTCAACGCGATTAATTCGTTTCAGCTGTTAGATGCTTACATCTAAGGCACAAACCATCCTTTCTGACAATCTTTCGAGGTGCTATTCGGATTTTTCATTTTATTCAGGATAACTTCAGTAAGTAATGGATCGTCCGTTAGCTCACTGGCTTCGGTTACTCATATGCGAACCATCTTTATAGTAGAGCAATCAACGAAGGACAAATCAACCCTACGAAATTGGCCTCATCTCGCAAATGGATAGACACACTGATTGGCTAGCTTATCAATGAAAATTCAGGCAAAATCACGTTTAGTAGTACAAAACACCAATCTTGGATTTTTTTCTCGGGTAAAAATATCCGGATATTGGCCGCAGTTTAAAAACTTTCCTAAAGGAGGATAGACACGTATCTACGTCAAGTTAAGATGTTCATCGAAGCTGTCCGACTTATGCAATTAAACCAAACCGGTGCACGCCCTAAGAACACCTTAAATTAAAGTCCTTAAATTAAATTTAAATTAAATTAAATTTTACCCACAAAATGCCGCATAAACTACGTGCACGTCTCAGTGGGAAGAAGGCATCCTTAAGGAAACAGGCAGTTGTGTACTATGGAGTGCAGGTGCCAAAACGTAATTCGGAAAATTACGGTCTCATGATGCTAACGGCTGTAGCGGCCTTGAAGTTCGAACTGGTAGCCAATGTGGGTGTGTCATTTTGACATGTTCGTTTTGTTAAATGAAGATGTAAACAAGATTCGACGACAACACGAATTACGGATAACCAGTCCATCCATCTGATTTGACAGTCTGGTTTCACATTCGTTTCGTGTTTGACTTGGACCATTGTTTAGTGCAAATCGGTCGCTTGTCTTCCATCCTAATTTTTATGTGCGCACTTTGATATTGCCTGCAATTGCAAAGAGTTAACTAACATCTTGCACCCGAGTTTGTCGCCTATCCATACATCAATGGGAAAAAATCAACTAAGGTTACCATCAATGATAAAAAGTGGAAAAGCTGTGCACTTCAAACGTTTACAGTAATGACCTCAACCGTGTCAGGTATGAAGACAAAAACGTCACACTGACCGAAAAAAGCACGTGCAATCTGACGTCGTTACCACAGGTGCATTATCTACATAAAGTAATCCCGCTCAAAACTTTAGCCATCTGTTTCTGGAAGAAATTAAGCAATGCACTTTCCCGTTGGGCAACCTTAAAAGGAATAAATGCGCGCGGACATGCCTTCAACTTTGGACGCATTCTAACTATTTTAGTTTGAGTGCATTTCCACAGCAAATGGGCACGCAACGTGATAACTTGAATTTGGTACAAGTTCTCTAAGGATCGTACTGCAAAGCAAATCACTATTGTAAAATCTCTGCTGAAACCTCTCTCTATTGAAACCTACCTACTGAGGTATCCGGTCCAACGTGGGAAAAAGCTGGTATTGAGCAAAATGTTGATGAAAATATCGGAGTGAGCTTTTGTACGTTGCACGCACGCCACGATGTTTCATATTTCTCAGATATCAATATCAGCTTTTTCCACATTGAGGTATCACGGAGCTCTTCATCGGAAAAAATCCCTTATATAATTAAAAATGACCGGATTTGAGGCTAAGTTGTCCCAATAGTGTTCAGACTCTGACATGAAACCCAAAGCTTCGTGCATTTCTCAAAATACTTTAACTAGCATCGAGTGTCAAAATATAGGTCTTATCTTATAATATCTTAAAACTTATGAATATTGTAGGTTCATTCCAAGTGATCTGTTGAAATATCTTTCAGAAATGCCAGAAAATCATTACAAGAAAGAGATGTGCGCGGCAAATGATGGGTGGTGAATATTTTGGTTGTAGGTGTCGTCAGCTTTCACCTGCGAGCGCAAGAGCTTGGAATACCGTCTACCACAGAGACACCATTAACGAGTGCACCCAATCCTTGTCGGTAGGGTCCAATGACAGAGCTAGCCAGAATTCTAGATACCCAAGACCAGATTGCATATTGGTTTACGTGATCTGGTTCAATAATGCATAGGTTTAAGTTTATTCAAGATGATGTTAGTTTCATAGCTCTTTGAGGCATGCTCTGAACTTGAGACGTTTCCCATCGATCCGGTCAACAGTTACTGTAAAGTAGTTTTGGTTTCATATCTGTAACTAAAAAACAGACAACCAAAAGTTAGGAACTATTCTAGAATCTAGCGTCTGGCAACTTTTGATCACCAGTCCAGTACGAGAAATCTCCCCGTACTCGATACAGTTACAACAAGTGACGACCAGAAGAGCTCTTAACTCATCGGATAAATATCACTTGACTCACCGGTAGTCGCGTTATTTGATTTCCCTCGATGTTCAGTTCGGTAAGCTGCTGGCACTGAGCGAGTTCAGTCGGAAGTCTTGTCAGCTGATTGTATCTAGAAGAAAAAAATAAAAGTAACAGTAAGAAGGGTCCTATCACATCGAACCACAGTAAAACGAAGAGCTTAGAGCAACATTTTGAGTAGTTGGTCACGAAATTTTTTATTTCCTTCCTCAAAAAACAGAAGTTGGTTGGGTGAAAAGCTTGCGTCTTCGATTCTGTAACAACTCAAATCATCTTTTGACCCCCTGAGTATCGTTAGAGAAGTTGGGTTAAGCGATATCATTAAAGTTCTAGTTCTTACTTTCTACCAAGATCGTTTGTATGTGTCTGGATATGCTTCGTAATTTTTGCATTTCTTCTTCGATATTGAATTCTCTCAACTTGCGTGAGAGAACACTTGTCCAAAAACTGGCGTGAAAAAATAGTGCGTACCTAGTACGGGAGTTTTCGCCATCCACGTTGTAAGGACACGATCTTGGTAAACGTACACTTTGCAGCTACTGTTTACCTATGCAACGACTAATGAATTAACTCGTCTCGCAGGATAAGCCATACAAAAAATCGTAAATCATTCAGTCGTGTCGTCCGTTCGGTGTCTAACTGCCATGTCACCAGAAGGAAACACGAGGGCTAGGATACTACCAGGTTTTCCAAGCCTGGACAGGGGAAGTCAAGAGGTAGAGGTCGTGTTCGAACTACAGATCTTCCGATAAGTGAATTCACACCCCAACTACTGAGCCATACAAATATCAAAATATAGTGAAATATAACCACTACCGAGCTGCATTTTGAGTATTTAACTTGGTTTAATGACTTCAGTGGATGAAAAATCCACGGTCGAAAAAAAGTTGCAATTTAATAGACTGTTCATCCACATGTGCCGTGTTGGCAAACCAGCTGACTGTGAGCACCAATCGACCAACAGAGCACAGTAGCCGGTAGCTTTTTTAACCGCTTGTACGTGACACTCGTTTGTGCACTTATGTTGCAGTGAGGTGACAAAGGTCTCGATGAAATCCCCGTAGACTGGTAATAATGATAGGGCGGATCTGTCAAGTACAAATCAGCCACAACATATAGTACACTT